ACCCGAGGCAGATGATCCAGACACGTCCAATGTCAGAGAATGGACGTACCGCGATATCCTTCGCTTACCACCAGAGAAGCAGAAGGAATGGAGAGCTGCTTGCCACGAAGAATTGGATGCACTTCGTCGGCGCAGAGTCTTCGACTTGGTTGACCGCCCTAAAGGGCGTAAAGTCATAAAATGTCGCTGGGTATTTGACGTCAAATCAGATGGACGTCGCAAAGCGAGATTAGTCGCTAAAGGCTTCTCGCAGGTTGAAGGCATAGACTTCGACCAAATATTCTCACCAGTTGTGCGCTTTGAGACAGTGCGCCTTATGCTCGCGCTAGCAGCGCTTGAGGATTGGCACATATCTGGACTCGATGTGCGCAATGCCTATCTATACGGCAAACTGGATGAGGAAATTTATATGGAACAACCTGAAGGCTTCGCCGTAAAAGGCCAGGAGCACAAGGTTTGTAGACTGCGCCGTGCACTCTACGGACTTAAGCAAGCGGGGCTTGCCTGGTGGCGCACACTTGCTGAGTCTTTAGAGAAATTAGGCTGCAAACGTCTAACTACCGATGCTGGCATCTTCTTATTTAAGGAGAAGGATGGCCGCATGGTAATTATTGTCGTCTATGTTGACGATGCCTTGTTCTTTGGCAAGGACAAGTCCCTCGTGACAGATGTTAAGTCACGATTCATGAAGAAGTGGGAATGCAGGGACCTTGGCGATGTCAAGGAATTCTTACGCATGCGCATTACAAGGCAAGGCCGAGAGATTCACCTCGATCAGATCGCCTACCTTGATAAAGTGCTGCAGCGTTGTGGCATGCAGAATGCAAAATCTGCGCCAACTCCTCTCCCTGCAGGCTATCGACCTGAGCCTCACAATGGCCCGGTCAATCCTACTCTTCGTAGCCGGTTCCAAACTGTGATCGGTTCCTTGCTCTACATTATGCTTGGAACTCGACCAGATATCAGCTATGCAGTTACCAAGTTAGCACAATTTGCTGCTAATCCATCACAAGCCCATTTAGATAAAGCGCTGTATATCTGCCGCTATCTAATCGGGACTCGTAATTACACACTAGCTTTTGATGGTGCTAGTGGACTTGGTATTACTGCGTGCACTGATTCGGACTGGGCATCAGATCCCAGTACCAGGAAGTCCCAAACCGGTTACTTCCTTAAATTAGCCAATGGCATATTCAGTTGGCAGTCGAGAGCGCAGAAAACTGTTGCGCTATCCTCCACTGAAGCCGAGTACATGGCGCTCAGTGATTGTAGCCGCCAATGTGTATGGGTTAGACAACTCTTTGATGAGTTAGGCTACCAACTCGGCCCCATTCCTATTTGCGGTGACAACCAAGGATCTATATTCCTTGCATCTAATCCTGTCACCGAGCGAAGGTCTAAACATATTGACATTCGCTATCATTATATCAGGGAAGTCATCGAGCAAAAGAAAGTTGTAGTATTCTACATCGATGGCGAGAATAACCCTGCAGACATGTTCACTAAGAACTTAGGACATGTCAAATTCTTGCGCTTCAGAGCGCAACTCGGACTTAGGTTCTACAAGTAATCTAAGTCAGCCCAACGCTTGCGTGCGCGAATATCCGCAGCACTTAGCGAGGGGGAGTGTTGAACTAGGCGCTGACTTAGCTGCCAGGTTCTACAACGTACCAGAATGTACCGGAACCCTCTGGAATATTCTGGTATATTCCATTATTGTACAGGGCACGGAGCTCATGTGGGTCAGTGACATCATAGGTGGAGCTCAGTAGGATTATAGATATTCCACGTAGCTTAGTCAGCCTATGGGCCACAGTGTATATAAACCCTGCAGCTCTGCTACCTAATGACAAGGGTCGTTTATACGAGCTTTACCAGTAGCTACAGCATCCAACCAATACAGGTGAGTTGTGTAGGGCGCACTGTGCGTGCTGCTGCCTCCATAACTCTTCATCACTAATAAATTCCATTGACATACTCATAGGCTGTGTACCTTCGTAGGGTGCCCACCATATCTACGGGCAAGGGGATCTGTCAATCCTAATGATGCCGTGATGGGCACCTAGGACGAGGCACCGCCGACGGCGCTGGCGTGTTGTGAACCGTACTTCTAGTCAACATTGCTTTAAAGGTGCTATTCGGCTTGCACTAAATTCGATTCTCTTGACTCACGGGCATTTGTTTCTCACAGGCCAAGAAGGTCCGATCAGGATCGTATCAACGATGCTCCAAAGCTCGTCCATCATAGGCATCTCCCTCGACGCTGCTGGGCTTATCGCGCTCGCAGACCTCAAGGCAATCTCATACCGCACTGCGCTAACCGGCACATCGTCGTTCATCGACACTCTACTCATCGCACCGGGCATACACTGTCAACAACGCGCCTCGGAAGTAAATGGAGGAGAATATCCGGCTGCGGCAGCCCTGACCTCAGGCTCCCTCTTCCGCATCGAGAACCAAGCCACTGTCAGTTTCCTGCAAGGCATAGGCAAGACGGGTCACCTCGTACAAGTTGCAGTGTCATCGCTGGGCCGCAAGCCTCGCCTGTTCTCAAAGGACATGGCCGCGTCAATTCTGTATCTCTCCGCGGCCGCGCAGTCCGTGGTAGTCATGGTGCTTTTAGGGTATACCCGAGACTGGTGGGGCCTAGGCGTACTCGCTATGCTGGTCCTCGCGCGGCTTTGCAACGTGATTGCATTAAAGCGACGGACGAGGATGGGATGGAAAGGCATGTCCGAGCCCGACGTGCATGACGAGCTCTTCATCATTCTCAGCGAAGATCGCTGGGTACGGTTGCGGGGCCTGGTAGACGATCTGAAAGCCATCACAGGCGGCCAATGGCTACGCGAGGAATCTGTTCTAGACAGCTTCCTCTCTGGCTTCGCGACTCTGCTCGTATACGTTTCAGCGGCACTGGCGGGAAACGCCTCTACACTGGGCAAGCTGCTCCTCGCGTGCTTGCTTTTGGTCTCAGTCGCGTTTCTGGGGCTATGCAATTCGCTGACGCAGACTGTATATGTACGGAAGATCCGTATATCAGGAGGGCAGACCTAAAGCATATGTCCGCCGGGTACATCTGGTCAGGGAACTGATAGATGAGTACAGAAGAGACGATTGGGCAATAGCGATGGGATTGATTCCCCTCAGCACTGCCGTAGCAAAGACTTCATAGTAGACATGATACGTGGCTCAGGACATATCTCATAAGATACAGACTGACGTGGAGCAAATACAATGCACAAATCCCGACGTAGACATCTAGAACGCTACCGATACTCGAGAAGCGACGGAAGAAGTACTACATTCCAGGTGGACGAGTATCCCGTCATCACCCATTTTTTGACTTCTGCGTTTACAACACCTACGAGTCCCCCTCCGTCTTAACCTTCTTCGCGCTCTGGATCGTAGGCACCGCTGCGCCCCTGACACCAACATCGGGTCCTCCATCCGGCTCCACTGCGCGCTTCCGCTTCTCCCCCGATTGCTCCTCGCCGCTCCCGTTCGACTTCGCTTCAGTGGTACCAGCATTCTGCCTCCCACCACCGTCACGGTTACCACCACGGCCACCGCGACCTCCACGCCCGCCGCGCCCGCCTCTCCCGCCCCGGCCGCCCCGGCCGCCTCGTGACGAGCCCTTGGACTGGGAGAATTGGAGCACGCGCTTGGCAGCGGTCTGAGCGCGTTCCAGCTGGAACGCTTTTTCTTCTTCGTCTAGAGAGGCCTTCGTTCAGCCGATCAAGCAGGGCCATAGATGGGACAGGGTACTGACCTTCTGCTAGAGTCCAGGTGACTTCTTGGCCGCCGATAGTTTTTAGGTTATCTTTTACGTATTGGATCTCTTCCTCTGTTAAAGCCTTGTCAAAGCTTATGAGGCCCCAGTCATTGCCCTTCTCGTATTTCACGAACGGGACTCTCGCGAAACGCTCGCGTAGTGGTTTCTGCAGCACTCCCACCGGTGAATCATACGCCACGAACACGAATCACGAGGCCAACAGACCTTGATCTCCTCGAACGACACCTCGCCAGCCCCCGAGAATTTCAACGTCGCGCCCTTGACGTGCGGCACATCCTCCTCCTTCACGTGCCCGCCGTCCTCCTCGTACACGCGCAGTTTGCTCCCCATGAACTCCAGGAACACTTCGTTTTTCTTCTTCTCCTTCTCCTTGTTTTGTTCGCCCTTGGCGGCCTTCATCTCGCGGAACGCGTTGAAGCCCTTGCGCCCGCGGTCGTCCGCGCGCGCTTCGGCTTTCTTGCCAGTCAGGCCCTTTTCCTTGATTTTCATCTCGCAGTACGCTTTTCTGGGAGGGATATAGAGGTAAGAGGAGGGAGGGGATCATGGTGCAAGTGAACGTACTTGGTCATGATGAGAAGAGGCTCGCCGTTCCATGACGGCTTGGGGTCGGCGTTCAGGAACGTATCGACGGTCGAAGCATCAGCGAATTCTACAAAAACTGATCCCTAGTTTACAATCAGTTACTGGATAGAACGAGCGTACGATACCACTAACTTTGAACTTCTTATCTTCCGTCCGCCGCATGCGCACGGCGTTCGTTCGTCCCCACTGATCGAAGAACTCTTCAAGCTGCAGCTGCAGCTCCGGCGTCTCCTCTCCGAAACCTTTCTGACATCGTACACCATTTCACTTCCCTCAGCACGCAGGCCCTACGAGGGGATGACTCACAGCGTAGATAGTCCGCTCCATCTGCCCTTTCGGCTCCTTCACCTCCGTCTTCCGCCGCACCTTCTTCATACTCTCGTCAACCTCCAGAGCGGTGCTCTTCTCCTTGATGGCTTGCGCTACCCATTCGACACCGTTCGCGCTGTACTGCCGCATGCGCTTGAAGGAGGCGACTATAGAGACCTCAACCCAGTGTTCTGGGTCGGCCGTGTGCAGCTGCCACATGAACCTATGTGTAAGCTGTTAATCGGGGTGTTGCCGCGAAGATTGTAGCTGAATAGCCCACCTATCGTACGGGAGGTTCGAATCGGCGAAGTAGAATTCCACTGAAGTTGCGGTGAGATACGGTTTATGATACGACTCGCTACCGCTCCACACCTTGCCTAACAGCTTTTAATTTGGCTTTTTCAGCATCCTCCTCTGTCGCAGGTTTACTTGAGCTCGCTTCGCCGTTAGACTTGGCCTCGGCCGGCACAGTAGCCGTAGACGAATGATCTTCCGTCTTGACCGCGGCTTGCTCTGCCTGAGGAACGTCGACTGCCATAGCATCTGGCACTTCAGCTTTTACTTCAGTCATTTCGGTAGAATAACGGTTGGCGATGAGGACTCAGGAGGAGGCTTGAAGATCAATTGCCTTCCCGATCTCGACTTTCGGCTGACTCCGAAGTCGATCATATGTCTGTTTTAATTTTCTTCTTTTACTTTCTGTTATCCGTTTTTGGTCATGTGGCGGTCACTTGAGACGTAGGCATATCACGTTCAGTCACAAATCCTCGAAGGATGGAGGCAGAAGGGTAGGCTCCTTCATTCCCATATCTTTTTGGACTGACATGTGGACTCGGACGAATTAGTACGCAACGCTTATATTCATTCAGGACCTCCAACGGCGAGTCTGAACGCGTGGAGGTACTCGACAGACTATATAGAATCTATGGTTGTTTGGAATAGCTACCTGTAAATGATTCCCCGGTATCAAGACGAAGTGATGGAAGAACGGAGTCCGGGCATCCCCCGAGCAACAAGGGCTTTTCTGAGGACGGGGTGCGCACCCTCTACCGCAAGAACAATTAGATGTCTTGTCTAGAGCCGGTTGCATGTGCCTGTCCTTGTACTGCCCGGTGGTCGTCGTGGAGCGCCACATACGCCTTGCCTGGCTATAAAGCAAGCCCTCCTGGCATCCTGTCTGTATCATCGTCCCCATATTTGAGCACGTCTGCATCTCTATTCCTTCTCCAAATACACTTGAAGGTAAAGGTCACCACAGACTGTTGGCATATGCCCGATACTAAACGAGAGATTCACTCTTAGGATGACCTCGATCGAAGTCTATCATGGATTTTTAATCTCCCCTGAGCACTACGCGGTTGACAGGTGGCGGGAATATCTTAACTCGCAAGATAGAAGGGAGGACAGTTCCGAAGCCTCGGAAGGAGCGCCTACGCTGGAATCTCGCCGTCGGTCCTCCTGGGCGAAAATTGTCAAGCATTTCAAGGTTATGGAGGTGCTCGAGTCGTGGGGGTCTAACCAAGAGCCTGAATTAACCATGTTTGTGGCCGTCGGTTGGACTACCCAAGAAGCTCCTCCGGGAACAGCGCGCCATGAACTCGATATCAAAGCAGTGCGTTACCGGGACGCAGAGAAGATGATGGTGCTTTTGGGTCCCGACAAGACCTCGCCGCTGCCGCTGCCTACCTCGGATGAGGTAAGGTGCTGGCTGTATTATGTGGCCTATGCGGAAGCTCTGTATATGTGTCCGTCGTTTTGGATACGCAGGGCGACTCGAAAGTTCTTGTCAATTTGGGTTTTGTCCGCGCACGTGATTTGAACATGGGATCAAGTAGTAGTTCAAGTACTTCCGGGCGGTCCATATCCCCAAAGCATCATAAGCCCTCCCTTCCTGGTGGTCTCAGCAATTGACGCACGGGCCGCTGTGTATACTAGCGTTAGAAGTAGTATCGTTTATATGTTTATCCTTCCCTACTCTGTAGGGGTATTGTTTGTATTATATTCTATCGATACTGGTGGGATTTATATCCCCCGTTTGCGCATATCTCGAGGGCGTGCCAAGTCAGGAAAGCAGATACTAGTAGCGAGCTTTTGGCACAAATCCTTGTAAGTCCAACATAGTCTAAGATGACAGCTGGTCATCGAACTGCCAAATGCTGTCTTAGAGGGATACCTACAGTCCTGCAGCGACGACCTTCGACGCGAGCATCATCTCGGTTATTCCATATGTAGATATGTCAGACAAGAGCATCACGGCAAGTGCCGACCACGTCTCGTCATGTTACAGCCATTTGCAGATTGATGGGCCCACTTTTCAAAAATCATTTACAGTCGGACCACGTCGGACAAGCAATTGTGAGTCCCCGAGAGACGGAAATCAGACCATCTGGACTTCCCCACCTTCCTCCGACGTCCCTGGCACCCACTCCGATCCACTCCGACTGTACACGATTTTTTGAATTGGTGGTCTATCGATCTGCAAACGGCTGTACTCCCATCATGTTCTACCTCCAAACAAAGTTCCATTGCAGTGCGATAGATTGACAGCCGCTTGCAGATCGATAGACCATCAATTCAGAAAACCACGTATAGTCGGAGTGTGTCGGAGTGGGTGCCAAGGACGTCGGAAGAAGGTAGAGAAGTCCAGATGGTCT